CCCTAAGACCAGGACCCCGGGCTGCACAGCAGGGTGAGCGGCATGAGGAGGAGCCCACGTGGACACTGCACCACGTTCCGACCACGGCCAGGCCCAAGGCTCGCCGTCAGACCTGGGATTGCACTGCACAGCGGGCCCACATCCACCCACCCAGCCCACGGTGGCAGGGTCACACACAGGCAGGAGATGAAGCCAGAGTGAGGGGCAGAGGGGCCGTGTCCCGCTGAGCTCTGCAGGACACCGGGCTAGCCCTCACCCACCTGCACCCCAGCCCAGAGGGAAGCAAACGCCCCTCCACAGGGCCTGGCGGTCTCCAACAGCCCTCCGGGGGCACAGGCTCTGCCTGGGGTGACGGGGCTCCTGGCACATGCACCCTTCCTGCCCTCAACAGGGTGGGGCCTCCCAGTGAGAGACCATGGAGCAGGAGGCTTGGAGCACACTTACGCGCCACGGAGAAGTTGTTGAGGGGGGCCTCGCGCTGGTCCACGTCCTGCGGCCGCTCCTTGTAGCCAATGAAGCTGCCGTCGCTCTTGAGAAGGAAGTAGCGCGGCCGCCAGGTCTTGATGTACTCCCCTGTGGAGAGCTGGGCTGAGCCGGTGCCCGGGGCTCCCCGCCTTGCGCTGCTGAGCCCCGCCGATGGCTGCTGTGCAGGGGCGCCGAACCCCGGGTGTCAGAGAGGGAAACCACGACGGCCCCTGGCACGAGGGGCTGCCCAGCTGTGTCTGCAAGAGGCCAGGACACCCATGTGCCGGGGAGGGCACACTGCGGGAGAGGCTGGGGGTCCAGGCCAACCTACAGGGCCGTCTTCCTGGAGGAGGCGGTGCTGCACCAGCCAGGCAGTTTTAGCTACAGTGAGCAGGGCGCGAGGGGGTCTTCCCGAAAGGACAAAGCCTAGGACCCTATGGAGAGGGGCGGGCATCCCAGGGACAGGGTGCAAGCCTGCCTGTCACCTGTGGGGTGGGTGCTGGCCCTCACAGCATGGCACTGTTCAGGCACTGCCTGTGAAACCAGACCAGCCGGCAGCTGGGGCTCCGAGGGACCCGGGCCTGTGGTCCCAGTCTGAGGCTGCCCCGGCCCCAGGTTCGCAGTCTGCCGAACCCCCAGTTTTGCAGCATCAGCCGTCGGGTGTGCACTCGGAATCCGAGCAGATGTCCTCCACGATAGCCCAGCAACTGTCATTTTTCATACTGACACCCGGGAAATGTTCCGTTTACATTTTGCAGAGCAAGGAGTTTAACAACAGGGAACTCACTAATGAGGCGACAGCACCGACAGGGCTCGGGG